AAAAACTAAGCCTTCTGAGCAGGTCTGTTGGGGACTTGTAACTGTAATTGGACACAAAGGGCTGTCTTCTGAAACCGTTAACAAATTATCCCAGAAGAACCTGTTTTTGTTTTGCTCCCGACCTCGGATCTCGTACTTGGGGAAAACGACACAACTGCTGCGAACAGCCACAAAGGCTTAGTAATGCCCGAGAATGCTTCAGTGTCCTTTTTCTGCCCGTAAAAGCACTCCTGATGAGTGGCATCCAAACATTTTTTTGAAGTAGAAAAATCAAATTACGTCATTAGATTGTCAAGTTTGCAAATGGCTACTTAGAAAAAATATTTTAATGGTGTGGACATTAAATTATATTCACCTGCTAGTTAGCCATGGACAGAAAATCCTTCTCAACAAATCATCATGTGTTAACCTTCTCACCCTTTGTTGGGATTTTTATTAAAGCTGTTAGTGTACAATAATATTTAATATTAAGGAAAGACCTTTATTGTGAATACAATGCTTCATTCTTCAACAGTGGCCAACAAACTATCTTCCATACTTATTCTGGACCTCCACGCTGTAAAAGAAAAGTAGGCAATTAAATATATTTCACTAAAAGAGGAAATGGAGATCAAATCTGTGCTGTTATCTAAGAGCACACACGGAGTGTCAAATACCAGCATCTACCAGTAACTGCTCCATTTTTTTTCAATAGAAAATGCAAAAAGGTCAAGACATGCAGCCTACAATTACAGTTGCTTCCACTTCTCTCACTCTGAAGAAACTCCTTCTCACTTTAGAAAGGTCTGACAAATGCAGTACTAGCAAACACAAGTTTTAGAATTATTTTCACTGCCCAAATTCCGAAGTGCAAAGTAGAAACAAAGCCAAGGTGAGCCATTACAATCTTTATGAGAAATCAGAAAGTTATTAATTATTTTCCCAAGAAAATTATTTTACAACTTACCATTAGAAAATTTATGCTACAGGTCAAGAAGTGTATTACTATGGTAAATAACTCGGTTTATTTCTAACTATAATACCCTACCTACATACATGCCGGAAAACTGATTTTCTCTACTAACATGATTACACTGTAGATGTCCTTATCATTTAACAAAGCATGCAAGCATCTTTTAATTTCAAATTCACACTCATCTCGCAAGTTCTTCCAATTCTGTGCATTCTCCCTTTTTAATCATTGGTGTTTACAGCTGAGAACTGTTACAGAACAAAAGCAGGTTTTTCTTCCCTTTCATGTACAATGCCATATTTGTAAATATTGCAGAAAATATCTATATCAAGTTTAATAAAATGTTCCACTACTAGAAATACAAGAGTTAACTTAAGTAACATAAAAACTAGCTTGAGAAATATTTCCGACTTCAATTATCTGGTAATAGCCTTCAGTGAACTAAGAGCAGACTCCTGTGCTCCTGTCCAGCACATCCAAATTACACATTAAACAGCTGCTACAAACCAAGTAGTGACAGTGATTAACATAGGCTCTGACCATCATTAGCTATCTGCATGTTTGTCTTAAGCCCCTATCTCTCTACCCAGTGATAACACAAGCTACTACATATGAGAGTTTGGTACCTGCTGTATTAAGAATTTGTAGCTTGGGTATTGTGCATCAAAGCTATGAAAGCTAGGAGCACACCCTTACCAAGAATTACAATGTAATGTGTTATTTGAAACTCTAGAGAAGGTGTAGAAATAAGATAAATGTCAGGTAAATACAGAAAATACACACCAATAAATAAAACTTACTTGAATATATTCAATCTCTTCATCTGACATAAGTCTCCTTCTATATTTCTGAGGTAAGGTTCTTGCTAATTCAGAAGTGTCTGGTGTACCTTGTACTTTACTAAGAGGTGAAATATTTTGAAAGGCCGGTGATCTGCCTCCTACAAACTCCTGTGCTTTTGAAGCATGGAGAGATGGCACACTTGCTTGTAGAGATTCCTGTACTGAAACCCAGATTGCAAAACCATTTACAGAAATATAACAAGACTGTAAAATTAATTAATAAGCAGCAAATAATAGTTATCAGCTGTTGACAATATTCCTCATTATAACAAATACTTAAAAGAATTAAGACACTGTACGTCTCACAATCTGGTTGTATTGTTGTTAAATATATCAAGAGCATACTGAAAAAACTCTGACAATGGAAGAAAGAATGTTTGAGTGGCAGAAATACTGATGTGGAAACAGAAGATAAATCAGCATATCCTCTGTTGGGATAAACAAAGGCCTTTTCGCTGGGAAGCTGTACTTACAGAAAAAGCATAAAGTATCATAACTGTGTGTGTGTAAGAAATAATGTAGAAAGATAACTAAGATAAATCTCTAAGATCCACTGAGATGATGTTTTATGTTTACTGTTGACTGTAAAGACAGACAAGTGCAAAAAGAGGTAGAGGCTTAGAGAAAGACAAAACTCAAAACTATGACATACCACAAGCAGCAATGCAACGTTGTACCCGTTTTTAATATTACAAAATGGCATAATATCAAATTTTGTTAATGATGTGCAGAATGACCACCAAATATTGGGCAACATTAATGAAATCAAAAGACCAAGGAGTGCATGAACTATTTTACAGATGAGGGCCAGTGGGAAGGCTTAAGGAATTCACATTAGAGAAGTTGCCTTGAGTTTGAGGATAAGAGAAGAGATGGCAAAAGGGCAGTGTTGTCTAAGTCAGCACTGGGAGCCTTAGGTCTATCCCACCCTAGTTGATCTCACAGTGAAAGCATGCAATTATCTCCACCAGGCAGGATGGAGTCTCACAGCAATATGTTTCCTTCATAAGCACTCGGACCTCTCTGTATAAGGTTAAAACGCCCAATAAAGCAGAATGCTTCTAGAGGAAATCCTGCTCAGTACTCCTGAAAAATGAGCAAGACAAATGCAAGAGCTAACCAGCTGGGACAGAGGGACTATATAATTATAAAATCAGCAACAAGACTGAATAAGTCAAGTCAAAGAATGCAATGAGTTAAAATACCACAGCATTGCCTGCCTCCCTCCCTCCTGCCTCCTGTGATGGTTTTATGTGTGTGGTGGGGTTTTTGGAAGCAGGGGAGAGGGCTAAGTGGGTGGCCCCTGTGAGAAGCTTCTCGAAGCTCACCTACCTCCGAGACGTGCCTCTGGCCAAGGCTGAGCCAATTAGCAAAGGTGGCTGCTCTTCTGTGATAATGTATCAAAAGGGGAACCTGGGATGATGTGTGGGAGTTGTGAGGACACCTAAGCAAACACTGAAGTCGGTGAAAGAAAGGAAGCTTCTCTAAGCCCCCCTGGCTCCAAGTCAGACCCACCTCTGTGCCAAGACCAAGCCAATTAGTGACGGTGGCCATGTCTCCGTGATAATGTATTTAAGAAGGGGCATCCAAGAGGAAGCATGGGAGTTGTGAAGGACATATCTACGCAGACACCAAGGTCAGCAAAGAAGGATTGGGAGAGGTGTGCCAGAGCAGAGACCCCCCTGCAGCCCGTGGCGAGAGGGCAGGCTGTGCCCTGCAGCCCATGGAGGTCACTGGTGGAGCAGATGCTGACCTGCAGCCCGGGGAGGACCCCACGCCAGAGCAGGTGGCTGCACCCAAAGAGGGCCGGGACTGTGTGGGAAAAGGCCCCCACTGTTGTAGTTCAGGACTGAGAGGACTGCAACATGTGAGGGTGACCCATGCTGGAGCATCTTGGGAAGAGCTGCATCTCATGGGAAAGACCCGTGTCAGAGAGTTTGTGGAGGACTGTCTCCTGTGAGAGGGACACCATGCTGGAGCAAGGGAACAGTGTGAGAGTCCTCCCCGCAGAGGAAGAAGCAGCAGGACTGACCGTAACACTGTTCCCTGCCTGCTCTGTCACTGGGGGTAAGAAGGTATTGAAATTGGGAGCAAAACTGAGCCCAGGAAGAAGGGAGGGGTGGGGGGAGGTGTTTTTAAGGTGTGGTAAAGCTTCTCACTGTCCCACTCTGTTAAGTAGTGTTGTTACTGTCTGAAATAAATTTATGTTCTTTTTTTCCTTCCCCTAAGGAGCCTGTCTTTTTGCCTGTGACCACAGTGGCTGAATCATCCCTCCCTGTTCTCCTCTCGATTCCCAGAGCCTTTTGCTTTATATTCTCCTTCCCATTCCAGAGGGGAAGGGGTGAGTGAGCAGCTGCGTGGTGCTCAGTTGCCCTCTGGGCTCTAGTCACGACACTCCAGTAAGACCACTGAGGACAAAGCAGAGGAGCCAGTTTTAGCCATAGCGAATTTGAGTCAAGATTGGGACATCAAACACCTGCAGCAATGCGATCAAACCACCATTGGTAAAAAAAAAAAAAAAAGCAAGACACCAGTGACAAGCATATGCAGAAACTGTCAGTCAGAAGACCATCTGTGAAAGTTCCAAGTTGATCAGGTGGTTCAGGAACAACAGACGGTCCCAAACAGAGAAAGGAAGAAGAGAGCCCATCAGCTGGAACATATGCTAAACAGGTGGCAAAATACTTTTGTTTTATGAAATAACACACCTAATATATGAAAAAACAAGAAATGGTTTCTCCCAGTTTGTTTCATACACCACAAAAATGTCTAGACACTTGCCAAGGATTTTCTTCTGTTTTACATTTCAGTCTGCAGTGCAGTTGGAGTGGATGCATTAGCCAAATAAAATAATACTGTTGTTGCTTTAGCTCAGATACAGTCTCTACTACATTTTTCCCTCCCCCATTTGAAACCATCCTGTTGCAGTAGTAATGTGGTAAAAGAATCTGGGTGGCCTTTCAAGCACCCATGTCCCTGAAAGTTTAGTCTTGATCTGCAGAGTTGATTTGCTATGTAGAAACAACGGTCTAGTATAGGGAACACAGTTACTGCTACAGCGTTCAAGCAAGACAAGGTAAATTGCAATTTACTGATGATATGACATAATCTGATTAAGGTAGAAAAGTCTAACATACTTAAAAGATACAGTCACAAATATCTGATGCAGAGATAAACAAGAGGTAACACATTTTCAAGCCTCTGAGAAAGCAGTTTGCTGGCATTAGAGGCATTAGAACATTTGGCATTTGGCTGAACTGTGCACAACATACAAAATTCTGACAGAAAGTTGTCGCAGAAAATAGTTCCTGAAGAGTTTACAGATAAATCAGAAGTGGCTGCAGATGCTTTCTAACAGATAAACTAAAGCTATAAATCACAAACGTGATAATGCTGTGGCAAATAATGTGGTACAGTATCATTTCTAAACAAGTGAGAATAATATAACAGCTTCTTTAGACATCTACTTTAGTTTCAAATGCTTTGTTGACTCAAAGGAATATTAAAACACATCACTCATAAATTTAATGTCTAAATGCAATAGTATTTGGAATCCTATAATATCAACATACTATACATATAAAAATTAATGTAAAAGATTGCAATGAAAATAATTTTTTTCCTCAGTGTTAATTAGTAGCACAAGGAAACACATCTTAAAATGTACAGTGGGATGGCTCTCCCTGCTGTAATCAGGGTTTTAAATACCACAGACATCACACACTCCAACTAAGAAAAGATGAAAATTCAACATCATTTCTGCAAGTATCACGAAGCTGCTTCAAACTGACTTGGGTACAATCATTTCAGGCAAATCGTAGTATACGGAAAAAATAGACATATACAAATAGAAAAACAATGCTAGAAATCTTTGTGAATCTCCCTTGACCAAGAAATACAGACTTGCCTACATTATGTGTATTCCCACAGCTATATAGTCTGAAAAGGAGGAGTCAAAGCATTGCCTTCAAACTAGAACAAATGTGTTTCAGAAACACTGCTCAAAATCACCTGATTTGCATAACTGAAGCAAATTTGTTTTGTGTGCTGGTTTTTATATAAAACAATGCTAAGAAAGACAGCACAAGTTGTATCTAGTGATTAAATAACTTACTTTTTGGTCTGGGCCCACTTTTTCTGTCTGGGAACTTAATTAATGGAGTATGTGGCTTGACTACCTAGAACAAGGCAAGACAGTAGGAGAAAGAGGGAGAGTAAAAGACATTTCTGAATGCACATTGCCTTCACAGTAGTAAATGGAACATACAATATATTACACAATCACTTCTATACCACTGCTTTTCTGCACCACCACTCTGATAAGCTTACTAACATTCTATGCCCACTCACAGAGAAATTTCATCTTTAAAGGCATCCCTCCACCCTAACGTCCTGAAGAGGAAAACCTCTTCTCTTGCTTTTCTCCGAGCAATCAGTGTGCGTGCCTGTAGGAACAGCTACTGCAGTCGCATAAATGCAATTATAAAGTTTGTGCACATGGAATTACTAGCTGTGCTCTGCCTGTACATATCTGTCCTGCTGGCTGGGTGAGACTGACGAGGTCCATTAAAAAACCCTATAAAGATGGGTAGTCGAAGCCACACAGCTTACGTTTGAAACGCGACTTTTGAAAAAGATCACCTTCACCTTCAAGAGGGATGGCTTAGAAAGGAGATGATGGCTCGCGCCCTCCCCCCCTCTCGAACAGCGCACAGAAGGGTGCGGGCTGCCCTGCAGCGCCCTTTGGTACCCGAGAACCAGGCACCGCCACCAAATGACCGGCAGCGCCGGGCGGG